AAAATATGGAAAAATATGGGAAGTGGTGGGGAAGACAAAAACCCAGAACATATGGGAAAATATGGGGGATCTTTTTATTTGTGTGTATTTATTTGTGTGTCCCAGGGCCCCTTCAATTTTGGGGAAGAAGCCCAGACATGATCGCGTCGTTAAACGACCAGGACGGCCAGTTTCTCGCTATTCTCAGCCTCGGGGGCCTTCGTGCGGCCCCGGGGCGAGGACCGTCGACAAAACGACTCGGGATGCAAAAGCGGCCCCGGGGAAAGGGTCTGGACTTCGGTTGGGCGTTGCGTAATGGGGGGGTCATAAATGGGGGGGTGGCGAGCGTGGTCCGAAAAGGTACCCAAACGGTACCTAAACGAGCCCCCTGGGGGTCCGGAGGGGCCCGAAAGGGGCACGAAAGGGGACCGTTTCTGACCCCCCCATTTGTGACCCCCCCATGAAGCCACGCCCAATTCGGGGACGCCGCACTGACAACAATCAGGACGTGGCATGTTTGGGAATGCTGATGCCGGTACTCGTGCCTCGTTTTCGCGGGCGTCCTGAGCAGGACGATGACCGTCGAAAAACGACGCGGGATGAAACAGCGGCCCCGGGGAAAGGGTCTGGACTTCGGGGACGCCGCACTGACAACAATCAGGACGTGGCATGTTTGGGAATGCTGATACCGGTACTCGTGCCTCGTTTTCGCGGGCGTCCTGAGCAGGACGATGACCGTCGAAAAACGACTCGGGATGAAAAAGCGGCCCCGGGGAAAGGGTCTGGACTTCGGGGACGCCGCACTGACAACAATCAGGACGTGGCATGTTTGGGAATGCTGATACCGGTACTCGTGCCTCGTTTTCGCGGGCGTCCTGAGCAGGACGATGACCGTCGAAGAACGACTCGGGGTGAAAAAGCGGCCCCGGGGAGAGGGTCTGGACTTCGGGGGCGCCGCACTGACAGCAATCAGGACGTGGCATGTTTGGGAATGCTGATGCCGGTACTCGTGCCTCGTTTTCGCGGGCGTCCTGAGAGGCCCTTCTCGCCACGGCCGGATTCGCTCCGGGATGCTGAGATGTTGGTCATCAGAACGCACCCCGAGGGAGGTCCAGGGTCCAGGAAGTAGCGGTGTCGGTGTCTTTGGTCTCCTCATAAGGCTTGGCCGGAGGGCGTTTTCTCAGAGGAGGCTTTCGTTTTCGTTTTTTTGTTCCGCCTCGGGATGCGTTCAAGCAGCTGCCTCTCGCCGAGAAGTGTTCAGGGGTGCCTGGATTGGCCGACTGGCCGCCGAAGACCCGAGCTATCATTTGAAATCCAGACGAGGATCACAGATGGCCTGGCCCTGAGAGAGGAACCTCTCTTTTCTCCCTCCACCTCCTCATTTTCCTTCTTCTCCTCCCCTTCCATTAAAAATCGCATAACCCCCAAACCGAATGACACAATGAATTCGTGGGCTCACTTAGGTCCACGATTTAGGTCACCCCTAAATATGTGAGTGATTTCGTCTGAGACGTCTGCAAAACATCCCCACATAATTACACCTTCTGCTTCTGGCCCTCCTAAGGTCCTTTCAAAGGATTAGCGATATTGCGAAGGCCTTATGGCCAGTGCCGCCGACCCTGAAGGGGGGCGACGACGACAACGATGGCGGCGGCAGGGGCGGCGACGACGACGACGCTGACGTGGGCCAGAGTCCTCAGAGATGATTCTCGCGGTCTCTTCGGAATACTCTCGGGGTCCTCTGGTGAGGAATTTTTGGGGCCTCTTGGGAGCCTCTTGCGGGCCTCTTGGGAGTTTCTTGGGGGCCTCTTCGGGCTTCCTTGGCATCTTCAAGGGCTCCCTCGAGGGCGCGAAGTTATTCGCGCTTCGCGGTCCTCGTTCCTTCTCCCCCTCCTCCTCGTCCTCCTATTCTCCCTTTGGGAGGGCGGCGCGAGAGCGCGAAGTTATTCGCGCTTCGCGCAGCGCGAAGCGCGAAGTTGGGAGCCCTAGCACCTTTCGTGAGCCTCTCGGGGCCTCTTGGGAGCCTCTTGGGGTCTCCTGGGAGCCCCTCTGGGTGCCGAGGGCTCGAGGTGTCCGTTCGCGTCCCCCGTCTGGGCACGCTCTTGGAGCCGTCGCGGGGGCCTTTGGGCCGTTTTGCAAGGGCTCCCCCGAGGGCGCGAAGTTATTCGCGCTTCGCGGTCCTCGTTCCTCCTCCCCCTCCTCCTCGTCCTCCTTTTCTCCCTTTGGGGGGGCGGCGCGAGAGCGCGAAGTTATTCGCGCTTCGCGCAGCGCGAAGCGCGAAGTTGGGAGCCCTAGGTTTTGGGCTGTATTGGGGTCCTCTTGGGCTGGTTTGCCTCTTGGAGACCTCTTGGGCGATCTTAGCTTGGGGCGATCTTGGGGGTCTCTCGGGCCGTCTTGAAGCGGCGGGAGGAGGAAGAGGCGATACCGCTCAAGTCCTGAAACAGAATCCCGAGGGCCATCGATTCATGTTGCTTCTCGGGGCCTTCTCGGGAGTGCTCTTGGAGGCTTCTTCAGACGTCTTGGAGGCCTCTTGGGCAGAAGGCGTGAAGGCGTTTCGGACCGATCGTTTGGCGATTGGGTGCCCTCTTGGATTGTCTCGGGGGCATCTTGGGGCACTCGTGGCCTGTCTTGGTACTTTCTGAGGCCCCGGGATCCCCAGATGGGAATGCGTATCTGACCCGCCCCTCCTGTCCCACCCGGGACACCCCCTTTGGACCCCCCCTGGGACTCCCTCCGGGACTCCCCCTGGGAGTCCCCCCCCGACGGGGAGGGGATCAAAGGGAAGGGGCTTCCCTTTTCGACTCGATTACGACATTGCTAAATTTTTCTCTCGCTGATAGGCTTGAGGAGGAGGGTACAGGGAAAGGCGACGACGGAGACGACGACTGACGGAGACGACGACTCGAACAGACGAGCCCCTCACATACGCGGACAGGGCTGGCAGACGCTTACTACTTATCACCTTCCCTCTCCGCCTCCCCGTTCCCGCGTCCTGCTCCTCCTCCACCTCCACATTTTCGTGGGCAGGATGCTGAGTCGCAGGGGCCCGTGGCGTCAGCCTCCTCCACCTCCCCTTCCTCCCCCGCCGCCGACGAGGGCCCGATCGGGCGAAGGGCACTGCGCCCAGAGGCGCCGATCCTCGCCACGGCCCATCCTGGCTCCAGGGCCGGTGTGCGCGCCCCCCTGGCCAGGCCAGGAGGGGGCGTGGGCGCCGACCCTCGGCCACAACAGGAGGGGCCCGGTCGGGATCGGCGCCTGTGTGCGCAGTGCTCTTCCGCGCACGGGTGCCGCGATCGCCGTCGGCTGGGGGAGGAGGAGGAGGAGGAGGAGGAGGAGGAGGAGGAGGAGAAGGGGGAGGAGGAGGGGGGGGAGGAGGAGGAGGAGGAGGAGGAGGCGGAGGAGGAGGAGGAGGAGGAGGGGAGGAGGAGGAGGAGGAGGAGGAGGAGGAGGAGGAGGAGGCGAGGAGGTGGAGGAGATAGGAGGAGGAGGAGGAGGAGGAGGAGGAGGAGGAGGAGCAGGAGGAGGAGGAGGAGGAGGAGGAGGAGGAGGAGGAGGAGGCGGAGGAGGAGGAGGAGGGGGAGGGGGAAGGAGGAGGAGGATGGAGGAGTAGAGGAGGAGGAGGAGGAGCGAGGAAGAGGAGGACGGGAGGAGGGAGAGAGAGGAGGGGAGGAGGAGAGGAGGAGGAGGAGGAGGAGGAGGAGGAGGAGGAGGGGAGGAGGGGGAAGAGGGAGGAGGAGGAGGAGGAGGAGGAGGAGCGGAGGAGGAGGAGGAGGAGGAGCAGCAGAGGAGGCGGAGGAGGCGAAGGAGGGGTAGGGGGCGAGGGGAGTGGGAGGTAAGAGCCGGGAGGAGGAGGAGGAGGAGGAGGAGGACGACGACGACGAGGAGGAGGACGAGGAGAAGAAGGGCGAGGAGAGGGAGGAGGAGGAGGAGGCGGAGGAGGGGGAGGGGGACGGGGGAGGAAGAGGACGGGAGGAGGATGGAGGAGGAGATGAGGAGGCGGAGAGGAGGGGAGGAGTGAGGAGGAGGAGGGTTCGAGGAGGGAGGACGACGGAGGGAGGACAGGAGGGGAGGAGGAGGAGGAGGATCCAGGGGCGAGATCCCAGGAGACTCCAGGGACACCAGAAGGTTCCAGAAGGACGCATGTTTCCGCAGGAAGACCCAGGAGGCGTCGGCCGGCCTCTGGAAGGGAGAGGACGATTCTAAGTCGAGAGAGAGAGGATGGCGCATGATGCGGGAGAGAACGAGTGACGGAGGGAGTGAAGAGGGCAAACAGCACCATGATGACATTGGTGCAAAGGGGGAGGCACAGACTCCGACCGCCTGGACAGCCTCGAGAGCCTCAGGGAGCAGATGGCGAGGGCCCGGGAGGAGGAGCTGCTCACGACCGATGAGGCAGGGATTGCTCCGTCCGATCTCGATGCCGCGCCCCTTCTCTTTCCGCTTTCTCTCTACCCCTGCCTCCCCCGTCCACGGTTTCCATTGTTTTGCAATTTTTGTTCGCCCTCCTCCTCTCCTTCCCCCTTGTTCGTCCCCCGCCTCCCGACCGTCTCCGCATCCCTTCAGATCCTCATTCCTTTCAGCCGCCTCCCGCCTTGAGTCTTTCTTCCACCCCGCAACACGACAGCGCGTGTCGAACACGTCTGCCCAGGGCCGTCGTGCGGTGGCGCCGCTGAAAGCAACGTCTTCTTGACGGTGCAGCAGGCTCGTGTCGCATCGACGTAGCGGCGACCCCAGCGCGGGTGTTCAAGGAGGGAGCCCGCCAGTGACCCAGAATCGTGCGACGTCGAACGATCAGCGATGTGGGGAAGGCACGCTGTGAGAGTCGAAAAGCCAACGCCGACGTCATCGCGACGCGAGCCCGCCGCATATACGTCGGCTCATAGAGGCTTTGTCGAAACCATCTCGAAGCAAGCGACACCCGCAGACGTCAGCCGAAGCAAGCGACACCCGCAGACTTTAGTGTCTCGGATTCTTGCGGAAGCTCTTGGCCCGTGGTTTGAGGATGGTCTCTGAGGTGCAACGTCAGGGAGTGATAGGCTCAGGGGGGATGCATCGACGCAAGATCGCCCATGTATCGCCGATAGCGGGGGCCCGATAGCCCACCCCGCCCAGGGACGCGCGGGTCCGCAATCGTGGGCCTATTGCCAATATGTCGCCGGTCTATCGCCGATTCCAGGCCGGTGTTTCCCCTCCTGAGCCGGTTCCCCCTTTTGGTGTCCCCCCATGTCTTTTGGGCGGGTGGTCATGAGGGGTGACCCAAATGGGGGGTGAAAGGGCCCTAAAGGGGCCCTTCAGGGCCCCTTTTGGAGCAAGTTGGTCCCCAAAAGGGGCCCTAAAAGGGCCCCATTTAGGGCCCTTTCACCCCCCATTTGGGTCACCCCCCATGACCACCCGCCCAAAAGACATGGGGGGTGAAAGGGCCCTAAAGGGGCCCTTCAGGGCCCCTTTTGGAGCAAGTTGGTGCCCAAAAGGGGCCCTAACGGGCCCCATATAGCCAGTAACCGGAGCCTGCCCCACGCCTGCGAGTGAGGTTGCGCATGGCACCACCTTCTCATCGAACGCAGTGGGAACCCATGCCAAGAAACACCCTGCTTGCCTCCAGGGTGCCCTGGATTTCTTTGGTTTCGATGGTTTTGCTGTGGAAAGCGCGACGTCCCCACACGAAAGGTCAATGGACGCCCTGGGGTCTCAGTGTTGGGCTTCTTGTGGGAGGTTTCTTGTGTTCGAGCTCCTACTACAACCAAGGCTGGAGTCGGCACGGCACGAGCCTGTCGTGAGCCTGCGAGTGAGCTTGCGCCATGGCACCACCGTCTCCTCGAATGCTCTTTCGTTCTGCGGCTCGCCAAGGGGGCAGGGCAGGGGGGGCGGGCCTTCTCAGAAGGCTCGGAAGGCCTCCGGCCTTCGAGAAGCTCGTGGGTCGGTGGCTCAACGATGGGGTCTTGGTGGATAGGATAGGGGTCCAAGGATAGTAACGGATCCGAGGGTGGATTGGCGTTGTGTGGGGGGCACCTCGTCCTTAGCACCCCATCCTTCAGGACCTCGCTCTCCTATCCCTCTTCCGGAGGAGGGGTAGGAGGGTGAGGAGGGTGAGGCGGGAGGAGGAGGAGGAGGAGGAGGAGTAGGACCGGTGTAAACCCAAGGGTCATCAACGATATAAGCCCTCTAAGCTCCCTCGTCATATGCCCCTACAACGGTTCACTTCCAAAGGGAATTGCCTCGTTCGAAGACAACTGTTTGAAGACCCTGAAGCATGCCAAAACATTGTTCTCGGGATTCCAACGCCACGTCTCAACCTGACTGTCGCGCCTTGATGATCCTGAATTGTGCCAGAACGCCATTTCTAGGATTTCAACACCGCGAATCAATGTAGCTGTTGCACCCTCATAATCCAGAATCCTTCCAAAATATGATTTTGGATAACGAATGTGCGCGGCGCTAAAATAATAGCCACATTAAAAAACGGCCCGCCGTGAATCCTTGAAACTCTTGCACTTGCTTGAAGAATGTGCGCGGTGCTCAGGCGATAAGCACATTTTGAAAACGACCCGCCCTCCATCAGTGAAACTGTTTCCAATATTTCAGCTTCAGGGTCACACATGGTAAGGAAGTCTCAGGCGGAACGCCCGGTCCGCCCTAAATACTGGCATCTTGATGCGACAGGAAGAAGTTAGTTATGAGGACAAGGAATGGAGGAGGAGGAGGAGGAGGAGGAGGAGGAGCAGGAGCAGGAGGAGGAGGAGCAGGAGCAGGAGCAGGAGCAGGAGCAGGAGGAGCAGGAGGAGCAGGAGAAGGAGGAGGCCGAGCGGAGCCCCCTCCGGAGCCCCGCCGCCTTTCAGAAGGCCCGACCCCTCTCGCCTCCCCCTCTTGGCACGCCGCCGACCTTCGCGTGAGTTGTCGTTCCCCAGAGCAGGACAGGACCAGGAGGGAGCGAGGAGGAGGAGCAGTAACGAGCAGCAGCGGCGTCGGCGGCTCACGGGAGGTGTTGGTGGGTCCTTCGAAGTGCATGGCGCAGGACAACGCGCTTTGGGCAGGAAGCGAAGGAGGAGGAGGAGGAGGAGGAGGAGGAGGAGGAGCAAGAGCGGGAGGATCAGGATGAAGAGGGCGCGTGATGAACAAGGCGCGTTCGATCGCAGGGCGCTGGAATGGAGGGAAAGGACAGGATGGAGGACGAGGAGGAGGACGACGATGACGACGACGCCGAGCGGGGAGGGGGAAGGGAAGGCGGAGGAGGAGGGGGATGAAAGGGACCAACGCGCCACCGCCCTCAGAACAGACTCCGAGAACTCAGCCGCACCATATCCGAGCTCCAGGACTGGATCCTTCGCCTGGAAGGCCGCCCCTCCAGCGTAGCTCATCGTGCGACGTCTCTCTTACCATCACGGTTGCCACGAATGCGGCGGTTGGCAGTGTGTTCCGCATGAGCACCGATGTGCGTTCCAGCTGTTTGCTCGCGGTGTTGGCACTGTTCCGTTTCGTGTGCATCCTTATTTTCGAGGCACGGGTGGCCGATTTCGGAGCTCTTGCTCTGCAACCCATGCAAATCGCATCGTGTGTCTGATTGCGGTCGTGAACGTCGGGCCTGGAAGCCACGATGAGCACCCGCCTCTTTCTAATCGCCAACGCCCTCAACCGAGCAGTTCATCCAAGCACCTGTTATGCGCAGTTGACCGACCCAGACAGCCCACGAACACGGGTAATCCAATCGTGCTTCACAGCGCGCGTGGTCACACGAGTGGGCTTGTTGATGTTCGCGCGCACACCGAAGGCTTTTCTTCGGCGGGGCCTTCGGAGAAGGGTTAAGAAGCAGGCCAGCCCTCGGCGCGACCAGACCGCCGCCCGCCTGCTCCGAGACCGGCCAGACCAGGCTAGGCTGGTCGGTTGTTGCCAGGGGTGTCCCTTGCCGAGGGCGCCTCCTCCTCCTCCTCCTCCTCCTCCTCCTCCTCCTTCTCTTCCTCCTCGGCCTCCTTCTCCTCGGCCTCTTCCTCCTCCTCCTCCTCCTCCTTCTCCTCCTCCTTGGCCTCCTCCGCATCCTCCTCCTCGTCCTCCTCCTCCCCCAATTATCCATAACCAGATAATTCCTCCCTGTCGCACCCCTAGGCCGGTCGAAAGGGCGGGGCGGGCGTCTCGCCTGAGAGATCCTCACCATGTACGATCTTGATGTTTCACATTTCACATATGGAGGGCGGGCCGTTTTCAAAATGTGGTTCTCGCCTTAGCGCCGCGCACATTCTTGAAACAAATGCAAGAGTTCTATTAATTGAGGGCGGTTCTTTTTCAACATATGGCTCTCACTTTAGCGCCGTGCACATTTGTTCTAAACAAATTTGCAAGAGTTTCACGGATTGCGGGCGGGTGGTTTTCAAAATGTGTCTCTCGCCTTATCGCCGCACACATGTGTAAAAAATGAAGGGTTCACGGATTCAGGGCGGGTGGCTTCCAAAATGTGGTTTTCGCCTTAGCGCCGCGACGAATTGAGGGCGGTAATTTTCAAAATGTGGTTCTTACGTCAGCGCCGCGCACATCTGGTAAAGATATATTGCAAGAGTTTCAGGGATTGAGGGCGGCTGGTTTTCAAAGCGTGATTCTCGCCGTAGCTCCGCGCACATTATTTTTTATACACCTTGCAAGAGCACGGATTGAGGGCGCGTGGTTCTCAAGATGTGGTCTTCGCTTTAGCGCCGCGCGCCTTGGTTTTGAAACATTGGAAGAGTTTCACTGGTTCCCATGGTTGACATACCAGACATGGTGTCTTGGGACGATTCAGGATTGTCAGGGCGCAACACTTACGTTGATTTGCGGCGTTGAAGTCCCAGGAATGGTGTTCTGGCACGATTCAGGACCGCCACGACGTAACAGTCAGGTTAACTCGTGGCGTCCCGAGAGCGGTGTTCTAGCACGCTTCCAGATGTTCACACGCCGTCCCCCAACGGGACATCTCCATTCCGCGGAAGTGGCCCATTGTAGGGCCTACCGAGAGGGGATTTTGGAGGGGAGGGGGCATCTCATCATCGTCGACGAGCCTTGGGTCTACACTGGCCCTCCTCCTCCTCCTCCTCCTGCTCCTGCTGCTCCTCCTACTGCTGCTCCTCCTGCTCCTGCTCCTCTCCTCCTCCTCCTCCTCCTCCTTCTCCTCCTCCTCCTCCTCCTCCTCCTCCTCCTCCTCCTCCGGCTCCTCGTCCTCCTCCTACTGCTGCTCCTGCTCCTCCTCCTGCTCCTCCTCCTCCTCCTCCTCCTCCTCCTCCTCCTCCACCCCCCTCCTCCTCCTCTGCCGGCCCCCTCGGCGCGCCGACGAGCCTCGCAAGGCGCTCCCCTGCTGTGGTCTGCGCCCGTCTCGCCGTGCGCGCAGCTGGCCGCACGGCCGAAGGGCCGGCCATGGCTGGCCCATTCTCTAAGAAAACGTAAGTTTTCGGCCAAAGTCTCGATTATTCTTAACTTTTCAATGTAAATCCCAAGATGTTGATAGAAGTTCTGGGTTTTATTCAATTTCTGAGACTATGAATTTCTTAACCCATGATTTCTTAAGCATTTCGCAGGGTGTAGGCCCACCAAACAATTGTCTAAGACCCTTTTCCACGGAACGTTCTTCGAACATTTCTGGCTGGGACTGTCTCGTTTTGAGACACTCTCTGCTCAACACTCTCTCGGGAGTCTCGAGACGGGGGTCAGTGCAAACGGGGATCAGCCAGGGCGCCAGATCCTGCAGGATCCTGCGAAGACCCCCTCTGGCTGACCCGGGTTAGCGAGCCGCTCGTGGCCGCGAGGCGGCCGCGCGTATTGGCTGACCCGGGTTTGCGAGGATTTGCGTTGCAGTTTTTTTTTCCTGCATTGCAGTTTTTGGTTTCCTGCTCACCCGGGCATGGATTGACCCGGGTCAGAAGATCCCACACTCGAGCAGTGGCGAAGCGTCTTGGCTCGACGATAGGCCCACCAAACAATGTTCTAAGACCCTTTTGTGGCTTCCACGAAACGTTCTCCGAACATTTCCGGCTGGGACCGTCCTGCTTCAAGACGCTCTCTGCTCAACACTCTCTCGTTCGCCGGGGGGCGCCCGCTCGCAAACGCAGCGCGCACGCGAACCCAAGCGGGCGACGCAAAACACGGTGTCAGAGCCCCGAATCATCAGGGGTAACTCGGGTCGGGGATAACTCGGGTTCGCTTTTCAGGAATCCAAACCCGCGTTACCCCGGACCCGAGGTACCCCGGATAACTCGGGCGCCTAACATAGGCCCACCAAGCAATGGTCTAAGACCCTTTTGTGGCTTCCACGAAACGTTCTTCGAGCATTTCTGGCTGGGACCGTCCTGCTTCAAGACGCTCTCTGCTCAACACTCTCTCGTTCGCCGGGGGCGCCCGCTCGCAAACGCAGCGCGCACGCGAACCCAAGCGGGCGACGCAAAACACGGTGTCAGAGCCCCGAATCATCAGGGGTAACTCGGGTCGGGGATAACCCGGGTTCGTTTTTCGGGAGTCCGAACCCGAGTTACCCCGGACCCGAGTTACCCCGGATAACTCGGGCGTCCAGAGCCCCGAATCATCAGGGGTAACTCGGGTCGGGGATAACTCGGGTTCGTTTTTCGGGAACCCAAACCCGAGTTACCCCGGACCCGAGTTACCCCGGATAACTCGGGCGTCCAACGGTGCCGTCTGCGCCGACAGTGGCGCGCAAGCTGTCCGCGCGGGGTCGCGCGCGGGCGCCCCCGTCTCCAGTGCAGCGTGCCGCGGGGGCGGCCTGCGTGAGCCGCCGCGTGAGCTCGCTACGGTCGGGGCGTTGACCTAAGGAGCCCTAAATCAGGAACGAGGCCCCCTTTTTTCCATGAGTTGACCTTCGATTCCCTGGCGAAGACATCAGGAAAGCCTGAGGCAAGCTGTGAACCACTTAAGGAACGCGGAGCCCCTTCCCAACGAAAAGGGTTCCTTCTTCAGGGCCCCGACTGTATTCTATCTTGCGTGAGACCAATTCTCGTCTCCCAAATATCGGCGGCGCGCCCAAGGTAGGGCAGGCAGAGCAGGCGGGCCTTCTCGGCAGGCTCCGAAGGCCTCAAGGCTTCAGAGAAGCGTTATGAGCCTTCTCCGAAGCCACAGAAGCCTTCTCAGAAGTCCCGCCGCCTTCTCAGAAGGCCTGCCCCCTCTCACACCCCCTCGGCGCCCCCCTCGGCGCGGCGCCGAAACTTGCCAGCTGGGGGTAGCAGTGTCCTTTCGCCCTCCTCTGGCCGCACCTTTCGGCGTGCATGGCCAGATCTCTTTCTGCTCATCCGTCCTGATCCTCAGAGGAGCAAGAAGCGCCAAGGTTTCCCAGTTCATTATCATGAGGCGTGCCAAGGTTTCCCAGATGTGCAAGACTTCCCAGAATTTCCTCATGTTGTACAGGCTGCAGAAACGACTGCTGATAATGATGCGCGCCAAGGTTTCCCAGAGTTGCAAGATGTCCCAGAATTTCTTCATGTTCACAGGCTGCAGCAGCGACTGCCGCCAGATGATCCGCCGTTCCTGGAACGCGCGCTCAGCCAATCGCTTCACGAGACCATTCTCGTCCTGATGCTCACCCGCATTGCAGTCTCGCTTCTCCTCCGGGCTCCCTGGGCTCCCTTGTCTTGGCGGCAGCCCTCCCTGCCTTCTGGCGCCGACGCAGGGCCGCGGGGGCAGAAGCCAGAGTCGGAGCTGGTGAAGGAGTCGCGGGAGTCGTGACGTTTGGAGTGTTTCCTCCCCAGACATCCGACGTCTCGATTTTTTCGAGACACGGGCCCCCAACCTCCCGACCACTTCCCCGGGACCGGTTTTTCATCCCGAGTCGTTTTTTGACGGTCCCGAGGCCCGGCGAGGGCCTCCAGAGGCCGAAAACGATGAAAAACCTTTGTCTCGATTTTTTCGAGACGCCCGAGGTCTGGGTCAGTTGTGCAGCCGAGTGGCTCTCTGTGGCGCACGGTCCCCTGCCCAAGGCAGGGCGCTCACGCGCGTGTTGGTGTGCGCGGGAGCGCGCGCTCGCCCGTCCGGTGTCTCTTGCCGGACGCGCCGGCGCTGCTGCCCAGCGGACTTTTTTCCGGGGCCGGCCTTCTCGGAGGGCGCCGCGCACATTCCCCTGGCCTTGGCATCGCTCGGACGTGTGCATTTCTCTTTCGGCGAGGACCCTCGAGGAGCATCCTGGATCATTTGGCGAAAAAGCCACGCACGAAACCGGAAAAAAACACAGGGAATGGACGTCCGAGCGATGGCCAGCGGCACCCCTCCCGGCCAGGCCCGCCCCGGGCCCCGGGTCGGGAGGGCGCACGCGCGCCGACCCTGCGCCCACGGCGGGCCTGGCCAGGGTCCGTGCCAGGTGTGCAGGCTGGCGCCCTCCGGCCTCTCGCTTCAACGCGCTCCCTCCCCAGAGATCCCACGCATGGAAAAGAGCAAGGCAGAGTTTTTTTTTTCGTAGATTTCGGCCCCTATAGGGGCTCCCGCCGGGCCTCGGGACCGTCAGAAAACGACTCGGGATAGAAAACCGGTCCTGGGGAATGGGTCGAGGCTTCCGGGGATCGCGTATTGAAAAAGTCACGACGTCGGATCTCTGGGTCCGCATCGCACCTCGCCCGCGCTCGCGGCAGTTCCCTTGCTCCGACCGCCAGAGCTCCGGACGCCGGCGCGTCTCCCGCCGGGCGCCCTTACTGACGAGAGAGGGAGGGGACGAGGGAGGCGTAGCGCCCTTGAGGAGAGGGGGCCCTGACTCCGGATCCGCCCTACTTTGGCTTTTTTTCCAACTTAGAATTGCGTCGGAAATCCACCTATAAGGAGCCGAGAAAGTAGGGCGGAAATTGCTGCACCCAACATAAAATAGGGCGGAACTCCACAGAAACAGCAACAGAAAAGTAGGGCGGAAATTGGCATCAGCGGGGCTTGAAAAATAAGGCGGAAATTCCAAGCCCCACTTGCGAATTTCCCAAAAGTAGGGCGGATCCGGAGTCAGGGGGGGCAGGAATCGGAGGTTCATGGGAACCCCACCATTCCGACCCACGGCGCGCCCCACGCGCGAACAGCACCCGCGACACACGGCCAGGACCCGGCCGCGCTGCCTTGAGCATCGGTGCCAGTGTGGCGGGCGTCCCCAGACATGATGGCGTCGTAAAAAAATCATGACGGGCGGTTTTTGGATATTTTCGCCCTCTAGAGGTCCTCGCCGGGCCTCGGGACCGTCAAAAAACGACTCAGGACAAAAAACCGGTCCCGGGGAAAGGGTCGGGACTTGCGGGGACGCCGTCCTGAACAAAATCAGGACGTCGCATGTCTGGGGTGTCGACGACCTGCACCGCGGAGCCCCACTTCAGCCACGCACCGGGGGACGGTGCAGGAGCGTACGGGACCGTTCGGCCCCCCCTCTCCGCTCGGTGCCTGGGCTCCTGTGAGCATATTCTGCACCTGCTTCTTGGAAGGCAGGTGCAGTCGCCGTCCAGAGTGAGGACGAGTCGGGCCGGACGAAAGGGGGGGATTGGGAAAGGGGGGGTTACGAAATTTGCTGCATGCAGCTGGTTTCGGCCTCACCGAGGGGCCCATTCCTCGATACATGGTCGCCTCCGGCGCCGGGAGGCGCCGGGAAAATCAGCTACGTGAGCTGATTCTCAACCCCCCCTGGTGTGTCTTCGGGGAAGGCTTTGCACAACTTTTCAGAAGGCTGGGGGACTTCCGAGCCTTCTGAGACGGCGCTCTCCTCACTTCTCCCCCTCGCTCGCCGCCGACACGTGGACCCCCGAGAGTGTATGCTTCATAATGCATTCAGCTGTTCTTCCCCATCCTTAGCCACTTCCGCTGGCCAGCCCCTGGCAAGCGTTGCAACCTGGGCGCCGAAGGGCTTTGCATCCTTAGCAAGCGTTGCAACCTGGGCGCCGAAGGGCTTTGCATCCTTACATATCTTCTGGCATGCGGGGGGGGGGCGTTTGAGCTTTTTGTTTGGCTGCCACCTTCGAGGGGGAGGACCGCTCGAGGCCGATTTGGCGACCCACGCAGGCCGTGCAGCAGGCCTGGCGTGTCACCAATTCCAGAGTCCCCTGTTTGGCCAGGGCCACTGTCGGAGGAGGGCAACGATACGCATCCACCTCGCTGCCCCTCCCCTCCCAAAAAAAAGGAGGCACACTTTCAGAGGAGGAGGGAGAGGGAGGGGGAAACGGAGGTGGATCCGTGTAAGCGACCTCGACGACGACGACGAGATCGACGACGACGTCAAAGACGACGACGTCAAAGACGACGAGATCGACGACGACGTCAAAGACGACGAGAGTCGACGACGACGACGACAAAGACGACCACGAGATCGACGACGACGACAACGAGATCGACGACGACGACGACGAGAGAGACGACGACGACGAGATCGACGAGATCGACGACGACGACGACGACGACGACGGCGACGACCAGATCGATGACGACGACGACGACGACGACGACGACGACGACGACGACGACGACGACGACGACCAGATCGACGACGACGACGACGGCGAGATCGACGACGACGAGGTCGACGACGAGATCGGCGACGACGAGATCGCCGACGAGGTCGACGGCGAGAAGGTCACGTCGCCCGCGCGCCGAGGGGCGCCCCTTCGGCGCCCGCGACCCGCCCCCGAGGGCGGGCGGGGGGCCCGCGGGCAGCCCGCGCGCGGCGGCGCGGCGGCCGCGGCGGCGGCCGCGGCGGCGCGGCCGCGGCCGCGGAGGCCTCCCCCCTGCGGGGCGGCGGCGGCGGACGCGCCAGCGCGTGCAGACACCGCCGCGCGCCCCGGGGGGGGGCGGGGCCCCGAGCAGCGGCGCGGGCGAGAGGGCGGTGGGCCGCGTCGGGGGGGGGGGGGCCGGGCTCAGGGCGGGGGGGGGGAGGCCTCCCGCCCGCTCCCCCGCGCGCCTCCCTTCCTTCCCTCCTCGGGCTGGTGCTCCTCCCCTTCCCCCCGCCCCCTCCTCGTCGTCTCTCCCTCCCTCCTCCCTCCCTCCCTCCCTCCCTCGTCCTCCTCCCCTCCCTCCTCGTCGTCTTTCTTCTTCCTCCCTCCCTCCCTCCCTCTTTCCCTCCTCTTCTTCTCCTCCTCGTCCTGCTCGTCCTCCTCCTCCTCCTCCTCCCTCCCTCCTCCTCCTCCTCCTCCTTCTCCTCCTCCTCCTCCTCCTCCTCCTCCTCCTCCCCCTCCCCCTCCCCCTCGCACGTAGCCCCCACATGGCAACCCCCAATCTCGCCCACTGATCGCCGATAAAGGACCGATGGCCCACCCCGCCAAGGAGCGCGGGGTGCCGTCGCCGTTCTGTCGGCGCCGATTCCAGGTCGACGTCTCCCCCCCCACCCCCTGAGCCCGCCCCTCCCTGCTCGGCATCGCTCGGACGTGTGCATTCTTCCCTCGGCGAGGACCATCGAGGAGCATCCTTGATCACGTGACGAAAAAAACACGCGCGAAACCGAACAAAAAAACAGGGAATGCACGTCCGAGCCATGGCTGGGTAGTCGAAGGCCAGACTGTCGAATTGGATTGGGCCCCACGGGCCAATCTGGCATGGCCAGACTGGATGGTTTGGGTTATTCGCCAGACTGGATTCGCGTTGGCTCCCTTGCCAGATTGCCCCTGTTTGCCAGATTTCAGGAGGGGAAAAAACACACAGACACAATTAATCGGCGATTCCCAGAAAATACTGGAAAATATGGGAAGCGGGGGGGAAGACAAAACCCAGAAAATATAGGAAAATATGGGGAATCTTTTTATTTGTGTGTATTTATTTGTGTGTCCTGGTGGGGCGCCTTGAAGATTGAGCCTGCCAGATTGGCGCCAGATTGGCTTCGACTACCCAGCATGGCGAACCCCCTGAGCCGGTGCCCCCCCTGGCGTGGCCCCGAGAGCGGCGCAGGGCGAGAGGGCGGGGCGAGCAGCCCCCCGAGCCGGAAGGGCCCGCGGTGCGCCCGCCAAGTTTCGGGGGAGCGCAAGACCCAGGTTTGCCAGGACTCGGGTTCGCCATCGTTTCTTGACGACCGCGCCTCGGAGTTTTGACGAGGAGGAGTTTCGTGGGATGTCTGCAGAGGGAGGCCTCGTCAAGATGCAGGCTCGGCCTCGTCATTTTTTTTGACGACCTCGTCGGGGATTTCCGAGTCCCCTGTACCCAGGTCTTACGTCCCCCTGAGAGAGGGCGGGGCGATCAGCCCCCCGAGCCGGAAGGGCCCGCGGAGCGCCCGCCAAGTTGGTGGACTGCACGCAGGGGTGATCAAACGACGCGAAGATCGGGACAAAATCGGATCGGGATAACTCGAAATCTCTGAGAATCGGCGGGCTTGGAGGATGTACTGGGCGCCGCGGCCGCTCCAGAGCGTTCCAGAACGCTCTGAGAGCGCTCCGGAACGCTCTGGAGCGATTTATCCCGATCCTAGCCCTGTTTTAGGTGACGCTTCGCCGGAGTGGCCCTCGTTGCGGGCCCACTGTCAGGAGGGAAAAGACCACACAGACACAATGCATCGTCGATTCCCTCGAAAATGTGGGAAAACGTGGGAAGTGGGGGGGAAGACGAAAACCCAAGAAAGATGTGAAAATATAGGGGGATCCTGTCATTTTGTGTGTATTTATTCGTGTGTCCCAGGGCCCCTGCACACTGGGCCCCCCCATCGCCGAAGGTGCTGCGGCAGCAGCGGTCTGCGCGCTCAGTTTGGGACCCCTCGCGCTCCCCCAAAAGCCGCGCACCAGAGGTCACTCGTACCC